TCATATTATTTATATCAAGTCACATCAAGCGCCAGCAAAAATACACAGCTATAGAAACAAATCCCTTAGGTTCTAGACACAAGTCTTAAAACTTAGGGGAGAGGGCAGAGGACAAGGCAGCAAAGATCATACATAAGGATAAGCAATAAACTGTCTAATACTGTGTGGTATGGGCTTCAAAATATTGACTGCAGTATTCATAATACTGACTGCTCTTCTCTCACCTGCTGTTTTGTATAACTGGTTGTCCGGGTTCAGTAGCTAGAGTGCACCCCCAAGAAACGAAGGGACAGAGGGCATGGCCAAATGAAATTCCCAAACACGCTAACCCGAGAGATCAGAGGACAAGACAACCAGCATGCCCTCAACTAGCCAGAGGTGTCCCCAACCACTCTATCGCTCTATACGCTGCATGGGTGCATTAGGCACGCCAGAGAAGGAATGCTCCTTTCGGCACTTGTTAGTGACACAAGCTTCAGGCATCTTGTTTGCAAAGCTGTTACAAGCAGTGAAATCAGACCACACAGAAACAGGGAAGCCTTCTGGAAAATGCAGTCCTAGGAAGTACTGCAAATATGATCTCTTCATAAGTAGCCCTGGCTTTTTAAAGCTCTCCCTGGATCCCACTGGGTAAACAAATATAGCTGGTAGGTTGCAGAATCTTACCAAGGAGAAGAGAATAAAAGGCAACTCCACTAAGAAATATTCAGGACACAACCACGTGCTCCCACAGAATGGGAGAAAATACTCCAACTCTTACTGATTAGCCATTTTGTGCATTATTGCTTCAACTATATTACCTCATATGTAAAGGCATTTGATGTAATGCCTTTGCTTTGGTCATCATAATTTTAAATTAAGTTCTTAGGATGTGATTTCCATTTATGCATCCGACACTCTGTAACACCTTTTCAAGATGAAATGGACATTAAAGTGAGTGTAAAAGTATTTTACTTTATCTTCACAGCATCTGTAGATTAACACAGAAAAGCTGAGTATGAATAACAACAAATCTGATCCCTAGTTGCACATGACATTAGAAAATACTGCATGCTGATATGTCAGTGATGAAAGGAGGAAAGCTTTCAATTTTCTAAAATAAATAAGTAAGTAAATCCCCAGTTCACTGATTATTTATGTACACAATTTACAAAGAAAAAATACATTCTATGCAGCAAATTACTTAATTAAGGTGTGGAGGGAAAAGGCCACTGTTTGAATAGACGCTTAAACCAACAAAAGAGATCATTTAAAATCCGATAAGGAGGTTCATCTACCAGGCTTTTCAGAATATCCTGCTAGGGGCTTATCTGTATCCTTAAAAGCAAAAAGGGTTATATTAAAGCAGGCCATAAAAGCCACAGTTTGCACAGAAAAAGCTGACAAGTTTCAGACATGCAGACCGAAGGTGACCTGTAGACAGACTTGTATGCCCAAACGTTTTCTGTTTTTCCCATACAACACAGATATATATTATTTGGTCTGATAAAAGATAATATGTCTAACTACAAATTCCACCTTGCTTAGGTCCAATATAACTGTAGCCAAATACCATGTTTGACATGAAACCTTCATTCTCAAAGAGTTAAGACAGGCAGAACAGCTTTTTGAAAGGAATTAGGGGCACAAACTTCAAATTCAGGAAACTCATGTTCTAATTTGTCTGGGCCACTAACCTCCCACAGGACTTAGGTATTAAAGAATACTGGATCTGCCTTTCAGAGAGGGAGCTACGTAGCTGCACAGGTAAGACGCAATCTGTGAAAAAAACTCACACCTTATTAGGAGAAATTAAAAATTTCATTTACTTAGTTTTCAAAGAGAAAGGTTCAGAAATAACGCGGTCAGAGTCTTCAAGTGCCAACATGAAGCAGATATTCCCGAACATCTTGCTGGAAAAGACTTATTACGAATTCAAAGAGCTCGCTGCTCAGCCTAGATAAATTCAGACCAAATACAAGGCACAAATATTTTAACAGCCAGGGTAACTGGCTTTTCTCCTCCTATACGTCCCCTAAAGAAAGACAGGGTAGCTTTATCAAGGCTAAAATGTAGCTCAGCCCAAAATGAGGTGTCAGATGAAAAAGTGACTGAATGAAGTTTTGTCAGACTGGACAATAATCACCTTGCACACAAACATCAGAAAATGCACAAACAGGACCTGTGTATACACATTTGGCCTGATTTAATGAAATAAGTGAAGGACTGCTTCCGCTACAGGAGAAGAGTCTGATCTGATAATTAGACCATTTACAAAAATACTTGCTGCGAAACAAGTATAAATGGTCAAATTCTTCTAGATGTAAAAGTGCCTGAGAAAAAGACTGCAGATCTTGAAAAGCCGTCTATGTATCTGCACATCTACCACAGCTCCAGAACTATGTTCACAACTGCTAGCTCAGACTGCAAAAGATCTCATAACAATCTCGTTTACAATCCAGATTTTCAAAGTCTGGTACAGACCAAATAGCAAAAAGTGCAGGTATGAAATCTGAGTAGATTTACTCTCTGCTTTTCACTGTAACGTTTAATAAGACTTACTAATTCTGAAAAAGAAGAAACAACAGTTAAAAATATAAACAACTGAAAAGTGGAATGTGTGCTGTTAAGCAATAAACAACATTCCATATTTCTCTGTCTTTCCCCTTTGTTTTACAGAAAATAACTACACAGCAGTCTCATCACTCCACATACTGTAACTTTCAAAACTTGGCAAAGCAGGTCCTGCACATTGTGTTTCGGATCCAATAGCTCAATACGTGCTTCAAAGATCTGGCAGCAGTTCTTTTGGGAGTTATTTCCTACTTTTCTGGCTTATGCAACCTGTCAAGTTTGAAAATTTACACTTAGTAGATTAAGAGGATGTAGGCAGAGAAAGAGGAAATCATAATAACCACAATAGTTATAAATGAAGTTCTGAATGCAAATTTGATTTGCCACACGGATATTTGCATTGCCTGCAAGGAGTCATTCTGATGCAGAGCAACACATGCCATCTTCTCAGATTCCAGTTTTCACAGGCACTGCAATAAAAAAAGGATTATTTTCAGGAAAACAACTGCCTACAAGGGCAGACTCTGTACCTATTACACACACCTTCCCTGTTTTCTAATGCAATAATCTTTTTAAGAGCAACAAAATTACAACGCTATGAACACTAGAACAAAAAGCAGATTCTGGCAAAGCCAGAAGATGAAGTAGGGTTTTGCCTTCGATTAGAATCTATTTACTTAAAACACTCAGCCATCCCCACTCTATAGTTGACCGCTGACGTAATTAGAGAAAACATCACTGAACGTTTCCACAGTTTGGGGGTTTAGAGAAGTTGGAAATACTATGAGCAAACAAACTCCTTTCCAAATACAAAGTATCTTCTGGCAGTAATGAGGTAATTTTCTTTTTGGCTTCACCAGAAAACAGTAAGTTCTAAAGTGGAATGCACTATTCATGTGGCATAGGAATACACATCCATTTAAAAGAAAATATCTGCTGGGCTAATAATCTTGGCATTTCAATAGTAGGGCTTGGTAGATGGTTTCAACTGGAGAAGAATCAGAAACAGATAAAACATTTCACTCCAACTCAGCTGTGCAGGTGACCTCTCGCGTCCTCTCCCATCACATACTTATTTCCTATACCTCTCACTGTTGTATTATTGCCTATCCTTCCTTCCCTATCTTGCTTCATTTATTTTGCAGCTCTCCCTATACCTTTCAGATTGTTCTGCCTATTCTTTCAACCTCCGTTTTTCTTTCTCATACACTTGGCCCCAGCTGAGGTCAGTAGCAAAATTCCCACTGACTTCATTGCAAAGGGTTCCCTGGGGAACACAGGAATGTCACCTGCCATCTCTGATCCCTGCCACCACTGCCCTTCAGCTTTCACATAGAGTCATGACATCTAATTTTAGGATGAGAAACTGGAAGGGGAAGAGTTTCTTCTGCTCCCTTCTATCCTACCCTCTCCATTCCTAGACGAATACTCCTGTTGATTACTTTGAGCAGGCACTTGTGATCTGGTCTTCTCCAGGAGCCAATTCAATTCACTATTCAGGAAGAAAGCAACTGAGGAAAAAAAAAGGTGAGGAAAACAAACAAACAAAACCCACAACCCAGAGTCTTAGTGAGCTAGGCCAGCTCAGCAGAGGGCTCATCTGAATCTGCATAGAACAGTATTTGCAAAAACCCCATTTTCCTCAGGTTTCCTTGAGGCCTAACAACATGAGTCCATTTTGCAACTCGCTTTTTCAGACCTTTTGTCCGCTGCAGTTCTTTCCACGCTGCCCATCTTTGTATACAAGATCGGATCTCTGAATATCTTTAAGGAATATTTTGGGCACTGATGAAATACAAATTTTGAATAAAATAACAACAAGGCTTAGCTCCTTATAACACTTCCATACCTTCGCAAAACAAAGCGCACAGTCTTTCCTTCATGAGGACTGGGAAATAAATCTTAAAGGGAAAGTTTTACAAGGCCGCCACTTAAAGAAATCCACAAGCCAATAAAAACAACCTTTCTTGTCTGAAGGCAATTGATTATTCAGGTTAGTGTCGCACACCCTTCTATACGAATGCAAGGATATCAAGGGAAAAAAAAAAATGTCTCTAAATGTCTTACCTCTTCCAAGTAAGTTACACGATGACTAGAAGGTACTAACAGACGGACCGGATCAGACCCAAGGCCTGCCTAGTTCAGTACTGTCTCAGATGCCAGTACCAGATGCTTTAGATGAAGGCCTCAGAATCTCACATTAGGCAGTAATTGGATAATCTGCCCATCCATATCAGATCTCAGGCTGACCTCTGCTAGTCTGAGATCTTATGCAATGAAAAATAAGGTTAAGTATTTCCTCTGAATTTTTTATTACTAATTATAATAATAATATGGTTATGAAGAACACCCAAAAATCTTCAAGAGCCTTCATTTTTTTCCCCCTTTTCCTGCATTAGAGTGTCTGAAGACTGAAAGCTTCCAATAGGGTATTAATAAAGACATACCTTGGAAATAGTAGAGTATGTTCAACTCTCATCTCAGATGGTCCCAAGTAGTTTGAAGCTATAGTCTGGTAAACTTAAATAGTCCTCTTCAGAAGTCCACCAGTCACTCCCTCTTTCCTCACTAACCTCCACTCTGCCAGCAGAAATGAAAACAGATCCATCTGAAAAACAACCTTTTGTAATTGTATTTAGCAGATCTATTTTCAGCCAGATCAGTTCCCTAATAAAATTCACTTATCAATTGAATAACAATCAATTGGCTTTGGGTGTGAACGTGTTTCCAGGGACAAGAAACTAGGGGCTGTGAGTGAGGATGGGGACTACTTTTTTTAAGCAGCGGCTTCAGCTTAAAAGTACATGAAACCACCAGAACCTGACAACTGAGACAAAAACTACTGCCATAAATTAGCTGTATGCTTTTGTCACCACTTGCTTTTTACTTCAGATAGTTGCTTCAGAGAGAAAGGAGAGCTATCTTTCTCATTCTGAGACTTCTCCCCCGTAACCAGTATGCATATTCTGCTCCTTCCACGCTCACCTTTCCCACTAAAAAGGTCTACCCATTGTTGGACTTTGCTGCAATTAAACAATATAGTCTTTCAAAGGACAGCATGAAGAATACATGATAACAAACAGCAGGAAATGTTTGGAAAACAACGCTTCATCTGGATACAGCAGGCTTCATTTATTTTTCTTTTGCTTCTCTATTTTTGTTTTATACTGTTGAATCCAAGTTTTAATGACAGAAGATATTTTAAGCATTCCTGACCTAGAAATGCGCTAAGAATAAGAGATTTTTTTGTAAAGAAAACATTGTCCATCCAAAGGGAAATTCAGAATATATTCCACCTAGGCAAGCTATGCACGTTGCTTATGAAGGGCAGATAATTTGTTAGACCTACAGAACTCAATTTCCAGGAGCCAGTGATAACATGCATAAAGTATCACATGGTCTGTAGATTCAATGGATTTGATTAAGAGAACAGCAGTAGGATTCATGGACATAAGAAACCTGCAGAGCAAAAGGCAGCAGAGATGGAAAATATCCACACACAAAAAAAAACTTCATTGCTGTACTTATCAGGGACAAGAAGCAGCTATCCAGTTATATCAGGGAGACAAAGTCTAAAGCTAGGATTAAAAATCTTTATATTTTGAGAATAACAAACGAAACAAATTGGCAAAGGTTACATTGGTCTCCAGTAAGAAGTCAACTTCTCTTTTTTGCTCTCCCCTACAAAGTGTCACTTCCATTTTGGGAGTGGTTACCATGCCCCATATAATGACCAGGAAGCAAATGCACTAGGGCTAAAATCCATCTTCAATTACATTAATGTTTACGTGGATAAACTGTGGAGGTATGACAATGAAGTTCCTGTAGACCCACTGTGGCATAAGGAAATAAGCTGAAAATATTTGTGATCTTAGCAAAAAGACTAAACAGAAAAAGTTCAAGAGGTTTTGGCCTTCTTAAGTCCATACAGTAACCAGTTTAACATCATGAATCATAGTAGATGATTCTTATAATTATGCTGGTGTGCAAAACACTACATTAACAGGGTTTCTGTTTGTATCTGCAGTACTTTCACAGCTACAGGAAAATGACTGTGGCTGTCTGACGCTATTTTGGAGGCCCCAGAAATGTGACTGAGTTGTCATCCACATCTACCAAGTATTCCCTCAACTGTTAAAGCAAAAAAGTAGTTTTTTCAGCTATAAAAATCAGATTCAAATAAAGTTCACAGTTATACATAACTTGGAGTGGGGAAAGTGATACAGTTCTTGGAGACTGCTAGACATTTCCAAAGGACCAGAAGCACTGGAAAGAAGCAGACATTTTAAAGCTAAGGAAGCATCAAATACAAAATAACACCTTGAAATTATGCATCTTTTCGGTCAAGATGTCTTTTTATATCCCCCTCTCACATATAAAAAAGTCACCTGAGCCCTTTGTTTGTTTGGAGAGTTGAGAAATATATTCAGTAAACCTCACATTGATTGAAGATAGGAAGAGAAGATATAGCGTGTTTAGCTTCAACAATTTTAAGAACCTAGATTTTAGAGGAGCCAGTAGCCGCTCTTCTATTTTGGCAACACAACAGGAAGGAGAAAACCTTACTGACTGGATGCCTCAGTGATCTTTCATGACCCTCTAGTACACAAGACAGCGTTGCATCATTTTGCTCCTACCTCCTGTCAACCTTGAGATTTAGCCATTCTGCCCTTTGCCCCCACTCTCAGAGCCCATCAGAGCACACTTCTGCCACACAGCCCCTTTGGCAAACAGGTCTGAGCTGGCATGTACAGCAGGGTGGAAAAACACTATTTACATGTCCTGGAGGGACACAGCTGAAAGTCTCTTTCTGCACATCTCTCATTACCAATGCCACAAGGACTGCTACCCTGAGGAATCTGCCAATACCCTGTTATCCCTAACATACCTAAGATAAGAGTAAGATAAATTGAAAAAATGGAGCATTTTATTTTCTTTTTTCTTTTTAAATGAACACTAAATGCAGACAATATAGCTGCAGAACATACAGAAATAGGGAAAAATAAACAAAAGAAAGCCTTCCACATAAATAAATGTACCCAACCCTTACATCCGCTCTCAAAATTGTTGCCCTCCTTTTGTCATTCTACCTAACAGGTCATTAGATGTCCACAAACTCTGGGTTGAGGATCAGTTATTCAACAACATTTTTAAATTGTATCAAGGGAAGAGGATTTAGTGGTGGGAAGACTTTCTTATTTTCACAGTCCAATCCATCTTTGTAACAGCTACAATCTGTATCTTTCCTTTCCTTCACCTTCATTCAGACAGGAAGGTATTTCAACTTTTTTCTCAAACTGCTGTCTGACCCCCTGCTTTGGAAACATTAACGTTCCTTGGGCATAGCCTGATTCAACTAATGCCTGCCTATAGGGTAAAGAGTCAGCTAACGGTGACTCCAGTGCTTGGCTAAATCCTAAACCGAACGTTAGCAGAATGACGTTCTTTTCCACAAAGCTGGACTATGCCCAAAACCCCAAAGTGAGACCTTTCCATATTATGAAGCTTCTGTTTCATATAAACCTATAATTTTTTTTAATCATAATGTATACAATTTTACTTAAGTAAGATTAATGCAGGCAGCACTTAATTGGCTCTCACTCAACATAAGATACAGTCCACTCAACACAAGATACAGTGATATCTAAGAATCACTTTGTGGCTGACAAGGAGGTTGGGGGGACTGCTTTTCTTAGCTCCGCATCTGAGAGATACAGTGACACACAAATACTCAAACAAGAGCATAGGTAACTTCATCAAGTATAATATACCAGCCAGATGAACCCACTATACCTTTTGCTCTATAAAAATTCTGCATGTCTAACCTGTAAAAATATCACAGAGATCTTATTTCATCTCCATAAAAATCAACCGATATCTGATGGTGAATAAAAATCAATGAGGTAATTGTGAAGATCAGTACATTCTTTTACTTATTATTCTGGTCAGGAACACTCAGTAAACATCATCAGCTTCAATTATAGACTTCGATGGGGGTTCGGTAGTCTTTCCTTCCAACAATGTCAGGGAAACTATAATTTATAAAGAAATTTTTCTTTGGTTAGTTCTCTCTTCAGCCCAACCTCTTGCAGAGGAGGAAAAGCATCAAATCATCTATTTGTTGATGGCACCATTATATGTAATGATGTTCAATGATACAGGTGGCATCTGAACATTTGCACAACACCACATAAACAGAAAGCATCTATAAAGACACACTGGTTGACCTTGTCTCCTACGGAGATACGGTCTAGAACCACACACACTAATAAAAGAGACAATACTGCCTGATGGTCTCACCTGACCTTTAATATAATGTGATGTTTTAGCATACTTGCCACCCAAAAAACTTACCTCTCTCTCCAGGCATCCTTGAGGTAACCAATATTAACTGCAGCACACGGCTCTCAGATCCTAAGATTTGACTATAAATTGTGACTGCCAGGAACTACCTTTGCTTTGTTCTTCTTTTATTGTTACTGAGCCAAATTAACTTCATGTTTACTTTATGTCAATTCAGAAGTTCTAGAATTTGCTTTTTCCTTGTTCCAAAAATTTTTAAAAGTCTTTGACTTTCAAGATATTGCACGAAACCTATGACATACACCCGTGTATGCTATGTTAAAATGGTTAAAAATGGGTTCAAGTGGAAAGTGAAAAGTAGCTTCCCTAAATTCCTTTACCTAACTCCAAAGTTAATGGCTTTTCCCATTATTATGTAGTATTTGGTTTCAAAAGTATGCAAGACACTCAAACGCAAATAGCTAATCAGGATAAGGTACACCAATTCATACCCTACTTTTCTTTATTTCTTCTAAAAACTGAGCCAATTACCCCTGCAGTTACATCAATGGTATGATATTGCTCTGAATCTCCAGTAAGAGTCCTATTGCTTACACCTGAGCAACAAGTTAGTACCATCTGTTTTTTCAGACTTTTGCTCTAGGGATATATTTACAGTAGTTTCTACTTTATGAGAAAGTTATTTCTGGCCAACTTAGCTTTGTTTTTTGGGGTTTTTTTTTTTGCCTTTTTCTAAAAATTATTTTAGCAAACTGCACTTGTGCCCACGGGAGAATTATTTGAATCATTTACAAATAAACAAACTAATTGTGATAGAACACTAGGTCATAGTGCAACAAATTTCCCAAATCCTTGTGGTACAGCACAGGGATAAACCAACTACCAAAAAGTGAAAAACCAGGGAAACGGGATTGCTTTTTAATGACTGAGCCCAATGCTATACAGAGATAAAGCACCGCCTACAACCACTGTACTATCCCTTCTCATTCTAAAATTCTGGAAGACCAGGGCCATCACATCCTTTAGACATTGATGACTTTTCTTCACTGAAATTTTCCTACAGTGGATCCCTCCATTGAAGAGCTCCCATCTGCAGTCAGAATCCTCATCTAAGAAATCATCTCAGATCATATCAGAGAATTCACATATAAATTCAGATATATTTTTAGTGAACAACAACAAAAAGTAAATATCCATTCATAGCCATCTACAGAAATTTCAGTAGAAAGAACAGCGAATAAAGTTCTATACTCTACTTACACGTGTAGCTCCGTTCCTATGCAGTAAGGCAACAGGTATCAAAGGGACTAATTTAAGCCAAACAGACTGGCTTGACCAACGGGGCAATGCACCTTCTCAGCTGGTCTGCTATGACTCAGGATTGGTGACAAACTGGCAGCTGCCTGAATATCCCTTTTTGGCCTGCTCAGGGCCTAGATGCTGCAGCAGGGGGAATTTGGTGCTTCCGGAGGAAGAATAGCTTTCAGAAAGCAGAAGCCAATAGGGTGAGAATTCCGGGTGCTGCGAGGATATATAAACTAACTTCAGACTAGAAACGCCTATAAAATGAACTTCAGCAGCTATGTGAGAAGTGTCCCAACCTGAGTGTTAGAAAAATATTCCTTTTTGCTAATTTGAGATCAGGAGAAAAAGGCTGGGGAGACTACAGCACTTAAAGTAGCCTTTGCAACCATTTTACGGAGGGCTCCACACGAGTATTCTGGATTCTCAGTGGCTTCATCTGTTTGCAAACTTCAAGCCTGTAGTAGCCTAATATTTGGAGACGGTAGAGAAGTAATAAGTGAATCCTTTTTTCCCCAGGCCTGATTAAACCACAGTGCTTATCTGTGGCACTGATTGTCTACACACAAAAACACACACACACTTTTTATTTACTCTCAGGGTATTTGGTTTTCAGGAGAGGCACTCAATATACTCTGAAGTTAGACTTTTGGCCTAAATTCCTAATAACGTCTCTCTCCTCGTGGACCCCAACCATTGTTAGACTATACTCTTTCAGAATAGGTTCTTCATTCTACTGAGAGCACAGCATAAAAATTTTAAACTACCTTTTAAACTTGAGGCAAATAATATACTAAAAAACAGCTAAAAATGCCAAGAGAATGGGAAAACACACTTACCTTTTGAAAATCAGAAATTATTCTGTAGAAATTCCCATTGTAGTTAATCAGTTCCTTTCCCTTTAAAATAAAATTAAAAAAAAAAGTAATGGAATAAATATTTTATGAAAATTCACTAAATTGTAAGCTAAACATAAAATAGAACACAATCTCTAATATTTTTCCTAGCAAACTGAAAAAAAGCTATAATAGTACATATTAATATTCAGTTACCTAATAAAATACCTTGAAAATTTTCATGACTTTTTTTTCAGAAATAATTTCCCGTCATGGATCAGAATATATACACTATTGCACTCCATTCAAAAAGTTTTTAAGTTCATTTTATTTTGAAAATCCCTTCTGCCTTTGTTATCTAAGCAAAAGCATTGTTAGCTTCAGGTGAATGTAACATGTAGTATCCATTTTTCCATGCATTTAGGACTACAGTGGAGGCCAAGAAGGAGCAGTGCAAAGAAACACACCTCACGAGCTGAAATTGGCGAGAAACTGATTTCAGCTCTGAAGCATGTGATCAGGTCCCTTTCTCACCCCCGCTATAGACAGAAAGTGAATTGCGCCATGGTTATTAGTGCAAAAACATACTTCAGTCATTGCTTTCGCCAGCACTCTAGAGCGACGAAAGCATCAATGCATTCACTGATGCCCATTTCTGCTGTGGGTGGGGAAGGGGCTGTCAGCCCCAGGGCATTCCACACTTCTGTCCTTTTAGGCAGTGCTGCAGGTAAAGAGATTCACACCATCCCCTCAGCTTCAGACATCAGTGCACTGATGACTCACAGCAGAACCTTAACTATATTTTAATACTTTCATTTCTGCTTCAAGAAAAAACAACTTCTTGCCCAAGAGGAACTCTGAGGAAGTACGTGCTCAGATCCTGTGGCTGTCACATCTGTATCAATACTACCAATTGCTTTCCAATTGTTACTTTCTCTGTTCTTTACACGCACAGAAGCGATTGATTTCTACATCTAAGTCATTCGTATGTATAAAAGCTCAAAATGTGCGTGAGCAATGTGATAATAGGCACTCAACAAGCAAAGCAGCAGAGTTACAGGAACTGGAACGAAGAGGACAAAATAGTGTTCAAAAACAAAGTCAAATCCAAATTTAATTAGAAACTGATGCTTTATAAAAGAAAAAAAGTGTGTTCAGTTTTGAAAGTAACATGAAATTAACTGTAATGGCTCTTTCAAATGAATCTCTACCATCAGCTCCTGCACACTAAGAGAGAAACTCCATTATTTCTTTAATTAATTTTCATCTTTTTTCCTTTAAAGTAGAATAAACTGAAGCCTAAAATTCAGAGCATGCACTAGGCATGCACTCAGGATGAAATCTGACCTGGTGCCTTTTATATTTTAAGAGGTACAGAAGAAAAGAAAAGAAAGAATATAAATAAAAGTCTCAGGGAGATTAGGAACTGAGAGGTTCAGGGAACAAAAAATCTAGAGCTAAAGAAAGTCTAGAGCATGCAGTGGGTCTAGTGTCTGCCTTGAAACTCAGAGTGCATAAAATGCCCTGAGTAGTTTGCTAGGGAGACTGAGAACCAAGGAAGTTGCAGTTACAGCAGTGAGAGCAATTTTAACGATTTGGGACTGTGTCAAACAACAGTAAACTATTTTCTTTAAGATTTTATGTTGAAATCTTCTGAAGTTGCCAAAAAAGTCCTACTAAAACAGAAACTTTTCCAAAACATAAACAGCAGCTTTGAGAGGATGACGGTTAGATATTTTATTCTCATTAAATATTGACAGTGTGTTCTCCTAACAAAAGATGACACAGTGCCTTTGGTTTGACTTTTTTTTTTTTCCTAATGCCCCAAACTCTCTCATTATGCTAATACACTTTCAGGCTGGCCACAGCAGCCCACAATTATATGATAAGGTATCACTGAGTCTCCCCCACTTCGCAGCTGTACACAAGAGAGTCCTTACACTTACTTCTAGGGACAACTAAAGCTAGCTCAGTGCTAAAAATAAAAACACTATTCAAAACATGTTACTATTGGAAAAACAAAGACATTACAAAAACATTTTGATACATACAGATTATTCTACTTGTTTGCAATGAGAGATACACCTCAGATATTTTTGTTCTCTTGCAAATTGTGGTCGCATTTCAATACAGTTACATCAGCATAAAATCCAGCAGAGCTCCACTGAAATCAGTGGCATCACACCACACCTAATGCACATAACAGAAATAGAATCTGGTTCTCAACTGTTTTTAATCGTTTACAGCTTTCTGGAGTAAAAATTGCCATTGGGCTCTGAAATTTCTCATGTTCCATGTAAACAGAGGAGTACAACGTCATAACATTTAACGAAATAAAAATCAGTTTCTCTTTAGTTATGCAAATATGAAAAATCTTTTTCTTTTCACCAGTTAAGTACTTCTTCAGAAGCTTGTTTGTGTTCAAAATTTCCAATGGCCCTTCTAGTGAGAATGTAAATTCTTTGAGAGAAACACTCACAGCCAGAGTCAAGTCTCAGTTACATTGATAGAAATGCAGAGCAATTCTTAATTCACAGTAACCTAACTTCTGACAGGGAAACAGCCTGCAGCTGCAGCCTCAAGTTTGTTCCACAGCTGGCTGTAATAGCTAAAATAATAAAACCCTAAAGCTTTCATTTTTCTCCTGTCCCAGGGGAAACAAACAAACAAATAGGTAAATAAGCCAGTCTTAAATACCTTCACACCTACTTTTAACAGAGGATCATTAACTGTATATTCCTTACTTCCCTAACCCCTGACCAGATAGATACCACAGGCTCTCAGTGACAAAACTGCTGAACACTCAGTTCCGCAAGTTGAACTCAATAGAAGATAATCACTTCAACATCTAAAATGTGCTACATATAAACACCTAATCTGGTATTCACACTCACAAGTCAGATTTCAGGCACCTAAATTAGGCTCCCAAAACTAGCAGGACCTTTCTGATCTAGTCATTTCTTGCTGTTCATGGCTCCTCATTAATGAAAGAAGGTAACAACAACTCTTCCCACCACAGAGAAGAGGGTTGATAAATGCCCAATAAGCTGGCCTGCCTTACCACGTAATGGGGAGTACCAATCAAAGGCTCTTGAGGAACCAAATTCTGAAGTATCTAATATTTGTTATTGGCCACCACACGAACAATCCCTAGCAAGGGATGTCAAGGACAACAAGAAGGGGTTCTTCAAATACATCAATAGCAAAAGGAAGACTAGGGAAAACGTGGGCCCACTACTGAATGGGGCAGGGACCCTGGCGACAGAAGACACAGAGAAGGCAGAGTTGCTGAATGCTGCCTTTGCTTCCGTCTTCAATGCTAAGGTCAGCCCTCAGGAATCCCTGACCCAGGAGACCAGGGAGAAAGTCTGGAGAAAGGAAGACTTTCCCCTGGTGGAAGAGGATTGGGTTAGAGCTATCATTTAGGCAAACTTGACACCCACAAGTCCATGGGCCCCGATGGGATGCACCCACGAGTGCTGAGGGAGCTGGCGGATGTTATCGCTAGGCCACTCTCCATCATCTTGGAAAAGTCCTGGAGATCAGGAGAGGTGCCTGAGGACTGGAAGAAAGCCAAGGTCACCCCAGTCTTCAAAAAGGGCAAGAAGGAGGAGCCAGGAAACTACAGGCCTGTCAGCCTCACCTCCATCCCTGGAAAGGTGATGGAACAGCTCCTCCTGGAGGCCATCTCTAAGCATCTGGAGGACAAGAAGGGGATCAGGAGTAGTCAGCATGGATTCACCAAAGGGAAATCATGCTTGACCAATCTGATAGCCTTCTATGACAGAATGACTGGCTGGGTAGATGAGGGCAGAGCAGTGGATGTTGTCTACCTGGACTTCAGCAAGGCTTTTGACACTGTCTCCAATAACATCCTCACAGGCAAGCTCAGGAAGTGCAGCCTGGAGGAGTGACCACTGAGGTGGATTGAGAACTGGGTGGATGGAAGAGCTCAGAGGGTTGTGATCAATGGCACCGAGTCTAGCTGGAGGCCTGTAGCTAGTGGTGTCCCCCAGGGGTCAATACTGGGTCAATACTGGGTCCAGTATTGTTTCTCTCATTCATCAGTGACCTAGATGAAGGGACAGAGTGCACCCTCAGCAAGTTCACTGATGATACTAAACTGGGGGGAGTGGCTGACACACCAGAAGGCTGTGCTGCCATTCAGAGGGACCTGGACAGGCTGGAGAGCTGGGCGGAGAGGAACCTCATGAAGCTCAACAAAGGTAAGTACCGGGTCCTGCACCTAGGGAGGAGTAATCCCATGCACCAATGCAGGCTGGGGGCTGACCTGCTGGAGAGCAGCTCTGCAAAGAAGGACCTGGGAGTGCTGGTGGACAACAAGTTAACCATGAGCCAGCAATGTGCCCTTGCGGCCAAGAAGGTCAATGGCATCCTGGGGTGCATTAGGAATATTGTTACCGGCAGGTCAAGGAAGGTGATCTCCCCCTCTACTCAGCCCTAGTGAAATTTCTAAAAGGGCTTTTTCTTTATTTGCAATTTTTTTTCCAGGAGAGAGTGGGAGGGGGAGGAAAAAAAAAAAATCACTCTCGCTCTAATGCTATCTCTTTGATAAGATGGTGCCAGCTGGTACACATTCACGAGCAGGAAACCACACTTACCAAAACAACGTTATATCAGCACCCTGCCTCCTAACAGCATGCAGCAAGACTATACGCTGCCAGGTCCTGCATTCAACGGGGCAGACTGTTCTAGTAAGGGCCATGCTGCCGAATTTTTCATTCTCATTTGAAATCTTTGAAAAACCTCAGCTCCTTCCTGGAGTGGAGCCTTGCCAAGGACATCAGTCTGTTGTTGGTGACACACTCTACACACAGCTCAGTGGCTTCCTGCTCAAAGCATTACATAATTTGAGCCTCTGGCATATCTTCCTGGAACATTTCACGTATTAATCCACAAGCTCAACAGCCTCTTCAGTAACCAGAAGACTCTCCACCTTTTCTTCATTGATGCTGACCAGGATGGTACTGACTGCAAGGCATAAGGCTTTTTACTCCCAAGGAAATAAAAATTGGATGGTATGATTCACAGA